ATCTATATAGATATCTATATCTATATCTAGATATAGATATCTATCTATATCTAGATATAGATAGATATCTATATCTAGATATAGATAGATATCTATACATAGGTATATATAGATATATCATTTATAGTCCATGTGGTGCACAAACTGATATACACTAAACATTCCCAAGCTGTAGTTATAAAGATATACAGGAATATACAATACACTTGTTTTTACATCTATATTTTAAAAACTTGACTCCAGACTGATCCAGTCTGAATGAGTTCTTCGGAGTCTTTTTGGGGAGTGCAGGGGGTGCAGATAAATGGTAAGTTTATGTAATGAGCAGAAGAGATTGATTTAGGAATTTAAACAAGCTGGTTTTATTGGGTGTCATAAATCTGTCATTGAGGAGGGTGAAGTGGAGAAATCTCTGAGCCTCAGCTTGGGTTAGAACAATAGTGAATCTCTTCCTGCTATTCATTTTGACTATCTCTCCTCCACATTCACACTCTCTCCATTTTGATCAGTGCTTTATGAGTAGACACGAATATACATTTTTGTCTGTAGGAAAAAAATATATTAAAAAAAGCACCGAAAAACCGCTAATTAAAGAATACTTTGAGAATCTGAAATTCTTTGTGCCTTGCAATTTGGCACCAAGTGAAGATGTTTAGCGTCAAAATGTATAGTATTTCTTCAACTTTGAGGGGTACATCTATATCACGAGCATGTAGATCCTAAATATACATGCACATACATGGGCTGATTTACTGAAGGAGTTGCGAATCTTCACCTAATAAATTGTGTGATTATTTACTTACATTATACAATGGTGTCCAAAAAAAAGCAAATTTTTGTTTACTTATTTCATCTGTACATGATTGGGTATTCAAAGTAAACAGGGATTTGCTTCTCACATGGTTATATAATTAAAGTGAATATTCGCACAATGTATTAAGTGAATATTTTCAAATCCTTTAGTAAATCAGCCCAATATACAGTATGTCCATGTAAAATAGTGTGTGTGTGTCGGGGGGGGGGGGTATAAAAACTGGAGCAAACAGAATCTGGAGCAGTTGCCCATGGCAACCAATCAGCATCTTTCTTCAGTTTGCTTAGGTAAGATTTGAAAATAAGAGAGAAGCTGATTGGCTGCAGTGCAAATCTGCTCCAGATTTTGTCTGCTCCTGTTTTGATAAATACCCCCCCTGTGTATGATATGTGCTTGTGTATGGCATGTGCTTGTGTATTGCACACACACGCTTGTGCACACCCAATTCTTAGATGTATCATAGATTTGGGTGTGCACAAGTCTAAGATGCATATGCTTGCTTCCTACCTTCAAAATGAAGGAACAATGTAGTAGGTGGAGTGTACACTATGGGGCACGTGGTACACAGTCCATGTTATTGTTGTTTTTTTGAAGGGGAGGGTATCTGAGATATGCATAATTCTAGATGGGGTACAGGGGATTAATATTTACAGACAGATACATGCACAGTACATTCACCATGCTGTGCAGATCTGCAGCTCCGAACTCTCTGGAAATCATGGAGTTTAGTGTTTTTTTGCTCTATGTAGGAGATGTTAAACACAGCTTTGTCCGACCTCGTAAAGGTCATGGGGTTTCCTGGGTCATTCTCTGCTCATTACACTGTCTTGCCCTGCAGATGAACTCGCTGCTCATTCCTTCCTGCATTCCTCGCCTTTTTTTTCCTAACCCATACACATATTTATTTGACCCAAAATAGGCTCTAATCACCCCAAAACAAACAGGCAAGAGCAAACTTCTGCTGAAACAAACATTTCCTACAGCCTATTGTAAATGGTTTGTACCCAGAGTAGAATGGGGCAATAAATTCCGACGTTCTACACTTTATTATAGCGAGCAAACTGCCAACAAAGTGTGGGCATAAAGCATTATAATTCTATAATATCTTAGGTATCCCATAAATTGTTACTGAATGGTGAAGAAAAGGGTACAATTTGGAGCTTAAAGACTAAAGACTTTTATCCTGTGCACCATAATAAATAAATAAATAAACAAGCACCGTAGATAAGCAGCTTGCTTGGGTTTGTCCTGATACATTTAAATCACGTTCTAAGAGACTTCAAAGGCAGTTTTTGTTTGAAACACAAATGTGACAGGAGGTAATAAAGCAATAAAATGTAGTCAGCTTGACAGGGCTGTGTTACCTTGAGCGATACCGGATCCTGCTCTCAAGGCTTCGAATTTCCTAGCCATGTTTGTAGAACTTTTCGACAGAAGGGGGAAAAATAACTAGATGCTTTAATTCAGACTTTCTCTGGAGGATCCAAGAAACGCTTTCACCTTTTTTTTTTTTTTTCTCCCAACATACGGTCACC